TTGAGAAGATCATTATTCATTATCATTAGGGAGATGCACAGCTCCTCGCTCGATGAGCGAAAATTCCAACCTGCTCTGAGGAGGTTGAGGAGAGTTTCTTGTGCCTTCACACCCCTTGAGAAAGCAGAACTCCTGGAAATCCATACTCACGGTTCCCCATGTCTCCCCGATACCTCGGGACCCCATGACATCTCGAACGCGTGAGAATCCGCTCTGAAGCGATAGAATATTCTTTAACGATGTATGATGCGAGATTGGATTCGATTTGTCTTCCTATCCGCCAGGAGGGGAATGTCAAATGCTGACGCCGTCGTGAGCGAAGGATGAGACTCTGCGTGTCCGCGACTAAGGTGTGGATCGATTCCTTGTTGCCCCCGTCGGAGCACAAATGAGCTGAGGAATCCATTTCCAATGGGACGAGATTTCCCCGGGGGTTGAAGTATAGCGGTGAAAGTCGTCGTCAACCACCAGCTTCTCTTCGCGCGCCTTTAAGTGATCGCAAAACGTGCATAGCTTGCCCCAATCGAATGTGAAACGAAATGATTGTCGCGAGGGCGCAGCCTCACAGGTTTTCTTCTCCCCATAAGCTGAATGCTTGAACTCACACGGCGTCATCACAGGACTCGGACTTGGACCTGAAGGTCCTCGCAACTTCTTTTGAAATCGCTGGATCTATATGTTCATGAAGGGTGTGTCGGTGGTTCCTTTCCTCTCGTTTATTTCGATCGTAGCTCCACAATCTCTGACCATCGTCGAACGCGCTCTGGGAATTCTTCAGAGGATCGTCAGCGACGGGCATTTCCACTACTCTATCGCTCTCATTGGCTGTTCGAGCATAGAACTCAGGAGTTTTTCAGATGGACATTTCTCTTTTCTGCGGGATGCTGGATCGAGCCTCATGCTCCATCCGCTTCAGCGAGAGATCGTGCTCATGTGCTGCAAGTGTGGGTATGCCAGGGCGAATCTAGAGATCTGTGGTTCACGTTCTACCGGAACGCTCCACAGGGGCCCCGGTAAGGACGATTGGAAGAGACGCGTCCTCATGCTCCTGTGCTCGGGGTCGGATGAACATCAGCCGCCGCTTCAACATACATCATCGGGGAAGACTGAATCTGTAACCAAATCATTCAAGGACTCCCTCGCGCGGCTGCGCATCTACGTTGAGTTCACGAAGATTCTGGTTCTGCTGAAAGATCCAACACACGAGCCTGGTTCGGTTGATTCTTCCGATTCGACGTCGGGGGGAGTTTATGACCACAGCTGGATGTACACGTCGGATCCCATGCACGGATATCCGCGGCTCGGCCACCCACCTATAAGAGCTCTCAGAAGGAGCTCTGTGCATAAGCTATTCCGAATCGACGAAGGAAATGCCACCCAGTACCTGTTTTTCGAACAGTTTGGCGTGACTACGGAACCGCACGGCCATCGAGTATTGAAAGTTCACAGCTGTCGAAAAACATCGGTGAGTTGAAGTTTCATTCGTTGTCGGATCCGGCCAACTTTGGCGTCGTTTCCGGAAACGCGATGTCGTACGCGCGGCCAAAAACTCGGGTCGATCCCTAACTCGTTCTGCGAGGAGGGTTATCGAATTACCGTCGATTCTTTTCTGAAATATGCCGGAGCCCTCCAGTCTACTCCTCGACCTCACATTTCAGGGACATTCATTCGTCTACTCTTTTGACTCGACAGTTTTTCGTCTCGCCATACCTCAGAATTATAGAGAAAGCTCCTTCGCTACCCTGGTGTTCTCGAGATCTGCGAGCATGCTGGTCATCGGAGCTCTGGCCCCGTCGGTCGCCGTCTGCATTTACGTTGCTGCCTCATCAAGAATCACAAGCGACAAGCTCTTCGATCGAATACTTGACAAATTCGACGTTTTCATAGACGCCTTCACCTTCTGCGTGATGCGGTTCCAATCTCATCTCGCAGAGCTCAACTTCCCGTCGAAGATTGCCTTCGCGTTCGCCGCATATTACAGCGTCATTTTCTTGAATGTACTCCAAGGTGAAGTTGTTTCTTCATCTCAAGGGTCACGCATCCCGGAATCCCGCTGCTCCTATGACTACTGCGCGAACATCGACGTGAACACCGTGCTCAAATCGAGGAAGTATCGAGGTGAAGTCCTGGCCTACAGCTTTATTGCATCGGAGTCCGGGACCATCGGTCCTCAGCCACCTTTGCGAGGGTGTCGACGCCGAAAGAAAGAACTGCGGGGAGCGTACCACTCGATCGCCTTTGGGAATGAAACGCTCCTCGCTCTGCTATACCTCGGGATAGGTATCTGTGGAAGGTCTGACCTGATCAGGATACAGGCGAATTCAATCAAGTCGAGGGGTTTGCTCCTAGAGGAGGGAATTTCTCTCGAGGAGAGATCCACTCAGCTGTGCGCCGATAACTATGTTCCCTGGATTTTGCGGAGAGCGCTAGAAAACTCGCTGTTCGGTTTCTCTTTCTTTGATATGCAGGGTGGTTTTAATCAGAAACACGACCAGCGCGAAATCGAATACTGGTCCAGAGACGATGCGCAGATCAGGCGGGTGAGACTTTTCTTAAAAGAAAACCAACAATATCTCAGGAAACTGTATGAGAAGCTGAGGATGTGGGGCAGCGACGGCACCACCTCGTTAACGCTTATGTCTCTCAAGGCCTTCTTGTTTGTCACCCTGATCTTGATCCTCATCAGTGTGGTGGTTCTCGTTCTGGAAATGTGGAGGAGCGTACTTCGAAATCCTCAACCGACGACTCTTGGCGCGTCAGCGACAGGACCCTTATTTCCCTGACCAGAAAAACCCGGAGTCTCTGAAGAGGCGACCGAGCGCCTCAACTGGGCCTGGTCACCTAATAGACCTATCGAGAAGATCATTAATCATTAGGGAGATGCACAGCTTGGAAGAGATCTCGAGAGTGATGATCGTTTTCACGACAGCTGAGTAGCACTCCCAGTAAGCGTTCTACCCGCAACTGATCAAATCGTCAAGGAGCTGAGGCAGAAAACTCTCCCATTCTGATCCTCGTCATCACCTGATGAGTTATGATGTCGAATCCGGAAACCATCAGCATGGCTCATCCGAGTCATGGTCGCGCGAGTTCCATTGATTAGTTCACAATAGAATCAAGAAGAAGGGCTATTGGATCATTTGTGGGAAGTTGGGTACAGAATTGAGTCCGACGTTTTGCCCATTTCCGAGGGGTCATTGAGGTCGAGAGGTCGAGAGGTCGAGAGGTCGAAATATGCTTAGATTAGAGGGCGGATCGCCGAGCCCCAAAGGCGGGAAAATGTTGGAGAGAGAGAGCTGTCGGGAGCCAGCTTAATTAGCGTGACCGAATGTCGTGGTCCGAGTGTGGCGTCGATGGAAGATGTGCAAAGCGGACGTCTAGACGTGAAAAGCAGAGTATGTGAGGAGTAGTCGACGAGTCAAGTCAGCCGTCGAGGTGATAGTGAGTGTTCAATAAACTGAGAGGGGCTCCAAGTTGATCTGACGATGCCGAGGTCTCCAATCGCCGTCCAACAGAAAGGCAGTCCGCGATAGAAGGGAGGTCGATCCCCTTCGAGAGGTACCATCGAGCCTCACGAGACGAATCATCAGAAAGATGTCTATTTAGGTAGCTGTGATTCCGAAAATCGCCCGAACAAGAGCTTTACAAATGGGCGCGATACATAACTAAGGCTTGAGGCAGAATAGCTTGATTCCAATCGGTGATTTCCCCGTATGGATTTCATTGCTGTCTCAACACTATTTCAGGGAAGCGATGATGGGTGCTTGAATTCGGCGTACATGGCTTTTCGAATCTTCCCCGTCGATTTGAGCCGAAAGGAACCGTGAAGCTAAGTCATGAAGTTTTCATGTCACAGCAAGAACCTCCTCCCGACCGGGACGGAATCGTCCCGCTGTCATGAGCGTGCTCGATTGGTGGGAAGCTGATCTTTGCGAGTGAATACAAAAAGTCTAGCTGCTCTTGCCTGGGCTGATCCTTCAATTCAACGCGATCGTGCGCAATGTCGAAGGACTCATGAGAATCCTTTAGCGTCGGTCTACGCGGAGTACTTCAGCGTTTTCCGCAGGCGAATCACTCGAAGCTCTAGTCGCTGGAACGCTGACTAAGATTCGGTCTCTGTTCGCTTCTCTCTAGGCCGACGCAGCCTCCTTGCGCATGCCCATTGGCATTGACATTGTCGGACCCGTACGCCGTTTTTTCCGTTCGTTCTGTCGGTGTAACCGCGAATCAGACGGTCAAATGCAACCTTCGCTCTCGAAACAAGGACGTTTCCCGTCGCTATCTGCTCCGAAGTAGGATCCCCAATCGGACCCTCGTTTCTCCGAATTGGAATCTCTACCGACTTCAAAATGATTCCCGTTGCCAAATCACTTAATTCCTCCGATTCCGAATGCATCCCCAGAGTCACTCAGTCGACCGCGCGAAAGTCCGAGCGACCGCGGAAAGTTCCAAGATGGAAGTAGGGATTCACCGTCGAATCCATCGAGGCGCTCGTTTATAGTAATGAATGAGGCTGGGTTGAGTGAACGAGTTAAAAGAATCTTGACGCACCAGGGACCCATTCGTTATCTTTTTATTTCGGAAGACTTCAACTTCATCTCAGAACGCCCGAGCTCCGAGGTTTAGGCCGCGAACCGAAAAGTGTTTCCGAAGCGTCCGCAGAACAAATGTATCCGTCTTAACCGGGGACGTCGCCTACACATTGCTCTGGAGGCTGGTATCGGAGCTCGGAGAGGGAGCTTCTTCTGATTCCGAGTATATTCGCCCGACTCTGGAAAAGCTCCCCAGGCGGGACACTTTATCGGGAATCATTCTGAGTTTCCACCCTCATTTTTTGGTGGGAGTTTCGAAGTCACCTATGGAACATGTACACCGTGACGCTTTTCCACATGATCCTGACCGACTAACCTAACTGGCGACGAACGACGCGATAGTGATAAAAAGGGACGTCTCCCACCTCTCACACATTATTCTCCGATAACGAAGCAAAATCTAGGGCTATGGGAGCCGCACAATCAGCGGAGGACACAAAACAGGTGAGTTCTCGCTGGGGGCTTATTCGAAGGCCGACCTGTCATGCATAGGGGATGGCTCTCCACGGCTCGAAGATAATCGAGGAATCCCCAAACTCTCGTTCTTGCTGTGATCCCTCGACCTGGGATAAATTCTGACCAGACAGTATCCATGAGACCTGAGAGGTTATTCATCCGTCAGACCCAGAAAATAAGAAAGTCTGTGGTCAGTCAAGACCTCGCAACCCGAAGCGCTCGACTCTAATGGTTGGTCCTTATTCCAGGACGCAGGAGCAGGAGCAGAAGCGAAAGCGGTGAGACTATCTCAAGAATCTCCCTATCCTTCTATCTGCCCAATTGCCGATTGATGTGGCAATCACAATCCGTCACGAATTCAATTCATTTTCAGGTTGACGGAGTAGATGTTCAGAAGAAAGTGAGTTCAATAGGATCACTATAACACAGCATCGGCTCGTCTAATGAGTTCCCGAATACCATGCTTTGAGTATGACGTCTGCATGCAAGACTCACCGAGCACTATTACGAGCATTTAGATATCGTATTCTCCCCAGGATTCCGGAGAAGCAGCTGTAGGCGATGGTGCCGCGGGAGCAATGGTTCGATGAGTTGATCCTTCTGTAAACGCATTGATCGCCCCTGATCTAGTCAATCATGATCTCATATTCCCCCAATGTCTCCTCGTAGGTCTTGGAGAAGGCGGAGGCTCTGATGGAGCCAGAAAAGCAGATGACTGAAGCCTTGAAGCAGGTAACGCGGTTCGACCCTCAATACAATCTGAAATAGACCAATGATGCGCTCGGGTATCGGAATTGAACCAAATGCCAATGATTCTCCGAGTATTGCATGTCTCTCCCACTCTAGAGCGATCTCAAGAAACAAGTGAAGACCGTCGTCAGGACGGAACAAATTGTTTTCGAATGCGAGAGTCCGAGCTACATCAAACAGCTGGCGACTAGACTCGCGGCGTACATGGACACCTGTAAGGCCGGAGACTCCGGCCGAGAAGCGGGGAAGCTCTTCACCGGAGCAATCGACAAGATGATCAAGAATCCCACCGGTAAGAAGCAAGCTCAAAAAAGCAAGAAGTCTGCCAATAAGTCGGGTAAGCGCAGCTGGTTCCCGTGCGGTCAGTCGAATGTTAAGCACGTCAAGAAAGACGTCCTGGAGAAAAGTGGTGCGAAAGAGGCGCTCGATAAACTTGATTTAAGTAAGCCTGCACTCCCTGCTGCCGCAGCTGGCGGGTGGTGTCCTCCGTGCGCGCCCTCTAACCGCTCGGGTGAACTCGAGAAGAAGACTTCGGGCTCTAAGAAGTCGAGCAAAGCTAAGTCCGGTGAAGGGTCTAAGGCATCGTCGAAGAAGCCCAGCAAGATCCCGGGGAGTGATGCTGCGAAAGCTGGGAGAAAACCCAAAGGGACCAAGAAAGGTTCGAAGAAGAGAGGAGATAAGTCGAGGAAGTCCGACAGATCGAGGAAGTCTGAGAAATCAAAGCGGTCCGGAAAATCGAAGAAATCCAAGAGGTCACGGAAGTCCGTCAAGTCTGGGAAGTCGACCAAATCGCGGAAATCAGGCGAATCGAAAAGATCGATCGATTCACAGCGATCCAGTGAGTCGAAGAAGTCAAGCAAGTCGAAGAAGAAATCGTCGAAGAAGTCAAGCAAGTCGATGAGGAAATCGTCGAAGAACAAGTCGAGGAAGTCGAGGGGCTCAAAAAAATCGAAGGATCAGAAAGTTTCGAAAGGGACGAAAAAGACGAAAAAGTCGAGGAAGAGTAAGAAAACGAAAAATAACAAGAAGACGAAACAATTTAAAAACGTCGGTAATGATGAAAAGAAGTCGAATCAGTCGACGAAAGATCCGAAATAGCGCGAAGGGAGCAGCTGGACGATGCCTGCGAGCCAACTCTCGGAAGTGAAGCCATAGCACGCAGGTGGAGCAAGGGAGGCTCTGAGGCAAAATTCAAGGGAATATTCCTCGACTTCGACGAATAAATTTCGATGTCTTCTGCTGTTTCGAAAAGCTTCCTATGCGTTCCTGTCGTTCCTCGGTCTTCCTTCGTCTCACTCACCTCCATATTTGTGACTTTGTGAAGTATTCGCGATCTTTTTCGTTATCCCATCCGCCTCTAATCAAGCTTTGATTCCAACAAAAGCGTCAAAGCCTCGAAGAAAACTCTGCACAAATATTGTGGAAGTCTTTCCGTGATTCGCGATGACCATAAGGTTAGCGCGGAGAAGTTGGGGTTCCATCAGGGGTTCCTACGAACGCCACATATTCTGGCTAGTGGCTGGTGTATCGCAATGGCGACTATCAATCAGATATTACTCATCCCTGATCGTGATCCATCCCTCTGCAATTTACCCCGATCCTCGGGAGTACGAATGCAGCCGCGATCCATCTGAGAGCATTGAAACGTTCGTGAAGGAATGCGTCCGCCAAGAGTCACGATTTCCGACCATGAGACAAGTAGGTATCCCCACCTCTCTTCCGGTGGAAGACAGTAAAAACGAAAGAATTCGCTTATCAATGGAAACCGTCACTCGACTAATCATTTGCACATCGAGCGCTCCTTGTTCTGAGTATCGGCGTTGATATAGCAGGGTAGGTAGGTATCCTCCATCTGAACCAAGACAACGATATCATAAAATCGATCGGGGGCAGATCAATCATCTAAGACGACCGATGTGGGCAGATCGAGGACGCTGGCAACAGGAAAAAACGCGATTTTCTTTGGCTAATGTCTGCGTCATTCTCGGTGTCGTCTATTCGCAGACCATTCGACCACCCTCTTTCGAGTTCCTGGACGGGGCGACTTACAACATCTCTCCTCCGAGCGGACAACAATCTCGCCGACAGATCGAGATCATCGAATTTCGCATGTGTATAATCGCGAATCTTCGAGGATGAGTCCCCAATCGAGTTTCGGGAATTTCAGCTGAAACATGAGCCTCGTTCGATATCAGCGGAACGTCCGGAAGATCCTTTTGGAACTTCCAGAGCGTCTATTCCCTCCGATTCAGCTGTTTTCCGTAAGGCGACACCGAACAGGGCCCTGCGGCATATCTCTCCCCCGTCGCTCTCCCTAAATCCGCTGGGTTCCCTATCCTGAGGTCGCTCACGCCTTTCGTAGCCGTGGGCCTGTACATAACATCCATGATTTCAGTGAGAAGCGAAAGGACCTGTAAGGCTCCTCATTTGCTCGAGGCTTCCCTGTCCCTTGATATAGACGCCAGATCACGGCAGACCCCCAGCGATAGCCCATGATAGAGCTCCTCCGCGAAATTGCGTGAGGAGTGGTCTCCAGTTACCCGCAATCCCCGAAATCACACAGTCTTTCGACTCTGAGTATATCTGCTTGTGCCTCGGCACTTCCCCTCAAACTCAGTCGGAGGCGATCTGAGTCCCGGAGCGACGATGCATTCATTTTTGTGAGAATCCAGGGCGCTCCTCGCTCTTATGATAAGCGAAAATTCCAACCTGCTCTGCGGAGGTTATCGAGAGTTCCTTGTGTCTTCACACCCCTTGAGAAAGAAGAACTCCTGGAGACCCATACTCAGGGTTCCCCATGTCTCCCCGAGACCTCGAGACCCCATGACATCTCGGACGCGTACCTCGAGAATCCGCTCTGAAGCGATCGAATATTCTTAAACAATGTATGATGCGAGATTCGATTCGATTTGTTTCCTTTCCGCCAGGAGGGGAATGTCAAATGCTGACGCCGTCGTGAGCGGTGGATGAGACTCTGCGTGTCCGCGACTAAGGTGTGGATCGATTCCTTATTGCCCCCCTCGGGGCACAAATGAGCTGAGGAATCCATTTCCAATGGCAAGAGATTCACCCGGGAATTGAAGTATGGCGGTGAAAGTCGTCGACGACCATCAGCTTCTCTTCGTGCAACTTTAAGTGATCGCAGAACGTCCATATCTTGTCCCAGTCGAATGTGAAACGAAATGATTGTCGCGAGGGCGAAGCCTCACAGGTTTTCTTCTCCCCATAAGCTGAATGCTTGAGCTCACACTGCGTCATCAAAGGACTCGGACTTGGACCTGAAGGTCCTCGCAACTTCTGTTGAAATCGCTGGATCTGTATGTTCATGAAGGGTGTGTCGGTGGCTCCTTTCCTCTCGTTTATTTCGATCGTAGCTCCACAATCTCTGACCATCGTCGAGCGCGCTCTGGAAATTCTTCAGAGGATCGTCAGCGACGGGCATTTCCACTACTCTATCGCTCTCATTGGCTGTTCGAGCATAGAACTCAGGAGTTTTTCAGACGGACATTTCTCTTTTCTGCGGGATGCTGGATCGAGCCTCATGCTCCATCCGCTTCAGCGAGAGATCGTGCTCATGTGCTGCAAGTGTGGGTATGCCAGGGCCAATCCAGAGATCTGTGGTTCACGTTCTACCAGAGCGCTCCACACGGGCTCCGGTAAGGACGATTGGAAGAGACGCGTCCTCATGCTCCTGTGCTCGGGGTCGGATGTATATCAGCCGCCGCTCCGACATACATCATCGGGGAAGACTGAATCTGTAAGCAAATCATTCGTGGAGTCCTTCGTGCGCCTGGGTATCTTCGTTAAGTTCACGAAGATTCTAGTTCTGCTGGAAGATCCAACACACGAGCCTGGTTCGGTTGATTCTTCCGATTCGACGTCGCGGAGAGTTCATGTTCACAGCTGGATATACAAGTCGGATCCCATGCACGGATATCCGCAGCTCGGCCACCCAGTTGTAAGAGCTCTCAGAAAGAGCTCTGTGCATAAGCTATTCCAAATCGACGAAGGAAACGCCACCCAGTACCTGTTTTTCGAACAGTTCGGCGTGACTACGAAACCGCACGGCCATCGAGTATTGAGTGTTCAAAGCTGTCGAAAAAAATTGGTGAGTTGAAGTTTCATTCGTGGTCGGATCCGGCCAACTTTGGCGTCGTTTCCGGAAATGCGATATCGTACGTGCGGCCAAAAACTCGGGTCGATTTCTAACTCGTTCTGCGAGGAGGGTAATCGAATTACCGTCGAGTCCTTCCTGAAATATTCTGCAGCTCTCCAGTCTACTCCTCGACCTCACATTTCAGGGTCATTCATTCGTCTACTCTTTTGACTCGACCGTTTTTCGTCTCGCCATACCTCAGAATTATAGAGAAAGATCCTTCGCTACCCTGGTGTTCTCGAGATCTGCGAGCATGCTGGTCATCGGAGCTCTGGCCCCGTCGGTCGCCGTCTGCATTTACGTTGCTGCCACATCAAGAATCACAACCGACAAGCTCTTCGATCGAATACTTGACAAATTCGACGTTTTCATAAACGCCTTCACCTTCTGCGTGATGCGATTTCACTCTCATCTCGGAGAGCTCAATTTCCCGTCGAGAATTGCCTTCGCGTTCGCCGCATATTACAGCGTCATTTTCTTGAATGTACTCCAAGGTGAAGTTGTTTCTTCATCTCAAGGGTCACGCATCCCGGAATCTCGCTGCTCCTATGACTACTGCGCGAACGTCGACGTTAAGAGCTTGCTCAGATCGAGAAAGGATCGAGGTAAAGACCTGGCCTACAGCTTTGTTGCATCGGAGTCCGGGACCATCGGTCCTCAGCCACCTTTGCGTAAGTGTCGACGCCGAAAGAAAGAACTGCAGGAAGCGCACCACTCGATCGCCTTTGGGAATGAAACGCTCCTCGCTCTGCTATACCTCGGGAGAGGTATCTGTGGAAGGTCTGACCTGATGAGGATACAGGCAAATTCAATCAAGTCGAGGGGTTTGCTCCTAGAGGAGGGACTTTCCCTCGAGGAGAGATCCACTCAGCTGTGCGCCGATTTCTATGTTCCCTGGATTCTGCGGAGAGCGCTAGAAAACTCGCTGTTCGCTTTCTCTTTCTTTGATATGCAGGGTGGTTTCAATCAGAAACACGACCAGCGCGAAATCGAATACTGGTCCAGAGACGATGCGCAGATCAGGCGGGTGAGACTTTTCTTAAAAGAGAACCAACAATATCTCAGGAAACTGTATGCGAAGCTGAGGATGTCCGGCAGCGACGGCACCACCTCGTTAACACTTATGTCGCTCAAGGCCTTCTTGTTTGTCACCCTGATCTTGATCCTCATCAGTGTGGTGGTTCTCGTTCTGGAAAAATGGAGGAACCTCTTTCTTCGCCTAGGGAGCTCTTCGAAGCTCCGGTTGATCCTCCGACCACGACACGGAGTGAAGTCTAAATCTCCCTTACCGTCCAGGAGTTCCGAAAAGGAAGGACGGCATTCTACAGATTGTCGGATTCGAATCATCGACTATCTGAAAACGGCATGGACGTCCACCTCAGCTCGTGTGCCTCACTCACGCGAATATCTGTCGGACATGCGTTGAGCTATGGTATCCAGAGACTCGGCAACATGTGGGAAACACTCGCTGATCCGTGAACGGTCTCTTCTTCCTTTGGATTCTACATCGAAGCACAGCTCAAGGAAATTCTTCATTCGATCGATATCCGCCTAATGAATAATTCAATTGTGAAGGCGTTGTCAAGCGTTGTCGAGCGAGGCACCGCGCGAGATCCGCCGCGTACGGTTGTCCAGATCCGGGATAGACCCTCAATCAGCAACGTCGGAGGATTCGAGGCAACGAGCCAGGAGCCGACGGGAGAAGGAATCCCCAAGAATGAATGATGTCGCTGTTTGAAGCTTTGAAATCAGAATTGGTGTTCTTAATCTTCGGGGGCAGGACACAGAGCAAATGGAAATGCTTAATCGAGGAAGTATTCACCGATTCCGACATTAAGGACGGATCGGTGAAACCAGGAGCCATATTGGCCAATGAAACGTGGCTGATGAATGAAGAATGTCCTCCACAAATTCCCCAGTGCGAGTGGTTCGGGAGCAACCGCGAGGAGGAAACAGGGAAACACGTGAAAGCCGGTTTGGGTTTTCTCATCCCGGGTGATCTAGGTCGAGTAATTGCCTTGAGGACAGAAATTCGAGGATCGGAATGGATTTCCGAGTCAGTGTACGTAGCCCACGAGAGAGGACGACAAAATGGTCAGCTCTTTGAGGCCATGACAGAATACCTGCACCAAGCATGCAGTGGGGAGACGCACGTAGTGATTTGGTGTGACATGAATGCCCACATAAACCAATTCGCAGAAGTGGAAAATTCCAGAGGTTGGCTGTAGAAGAGTTTCGCGAGCCAGAATGGGCTCGTCATAGTTAACGCCTCCGAAAAATGTGGAGGGAATTTCACACGGGAGAACGCGGTCATCGACTATGTATTGTGCAACGAACTAGCCTACAGGAAACTCAGAGGTATGGAGATTGATGAGGAGAGATTGAGAACCCAGATCTCAGACCACAGTCTGATAACAGCTGAGTTCATGATCGAGATGAGGAATGTCCTAAACATATCGAAAGCCGAAGGGAAACCTAGAGCCATGGTAGACAGAACCGGAGCGAGCATAGAAACCAAGGAGACCCTGAGAAAGGAGATGCTGGGCGATCGGTCGGCTATGTACGGAACTCTTGGGGAGCAATATTAAGAAACATGCAAAAAAGATCAGGGTCGTCCAGAACTACCGAGGAAAATATCCCTCCTATACAGAGAGAAAAGAATAAAAGGAAGGGAGCTGCGGAGGGCCCGGAAAATGGGAAGGGTCGCTGAGAAACGCAGTATAGCGGAACTCTTCAACTCTCTTGTATTGGTTTATTGAAGGAACTGCGAGCACGACCGCTTAAGTTCTCTTGGAAACATCAACTAGAATAAAAGTAGATAGTTATACCTTTCTGGCTTCTGAGATGGTACCTCTGAGATTGTACCGTTGGCGATCGTCAGGTAGGTGAGCTGCTTGATGGTGACGGGTCCGTGGAGAGCGTACAGTTCAGAGATTGACTCGGACATCGCCGAACATCGCCCTCAGAGTGTCATTCTGAATTATCTGTGCGGTACCTTTATACCCATGTCCTCATATCGAAATACCGTGACTGATGACAGGGAGGAACAAAGAGCGATACACCGTAAGGGGTCTCTCCTCTCTTTGGGACGCCACAGATCCGGAGGCGCCGCAAGGCAACGATGATGGCATAGCACTTGGGTCTGAGGTCCTTGATGTGTACCTTCCAGTTTAAGCGGGCATCGAATGTGACTCCAAGGCATTTGGCCGATTCAGAGAGCACAAAGCGTTCGCCTCTGGGAGACAGGAGTGGGAGCCGCGCGTGGATCGGGATGACCAGAAGAGAACACCTGAAGTTTTGCTGGCATTGACATTGAGGCCGGAGCGCTCGAAAATTTTGATTGCTCCATCAGTGACCAATCCACTCAGCGAGCCGCAATTGACTGGCTCACGGCTGGGCTCGAGGGAAACTTCGGTGTTGTCCCCACTATGTGCAGGAAATGGAAGTCAGTTGATTCAAATGATTGTTCGTTTGCTCACGCCGCGAGGTCGGAAATCTGGCGCCGAAGTTAGCGACCGAGCAGATCTCGAAGTCGCTTCCGCTGATATCAACAGGGGGATGAGTCGTGATGATTTCCGGAAAAAACTTCTCAGGGATGCGGGGGCACCCTGGGCCGTCGTCCGGTATCGCGGGCGGGAAAGTTGGAGGGCCGCCTCATTGATTGGTGGTCGACGAACGATGGGGAGCTCGACGGAGACGAATCATGGGAAGACCGCGAAGCTGTCAACGAGGAGGGGAGAATGAACGGAACTATCCCGCGAGCGCTCAATGTTTTTCTATGAAACAAAACTCCGGGAGAGGTCTTAGATTCGAGGTCAATCAATCTGCAGCGTCACTGATGAGGTACTCAGGTAATCTCGTCCCAAATCGAGTGCCGGCAGCTTTGCGTCGATAGAGAGCGATCTACAATGCGGCTATCGAATCAAGCTATAAGAAATTATGTCCCGCTGAGCAAGTTCTACCTGATGTCCATGATAGCGTAGAATGAGATGGGTAGAATGTGACGTAGAAGACGAGTATGAATCGCGGGATGGAGAATTCTCCCACTAAGGGAAGACACTGGTCGCCGCGCTGAGTTTTCCTGATGTTGCCTGCGCGGAATGGAAACTGAGGCGGGCCACACCGATCAGGACTGTGAGGGGAGGATTAGTCACGGACATGTGCTACCTGGATACGGATCGGCATTTCCCCAAAACTCAGAGGACGCTCTTTGATCACGTTGGCGGCACATGACGTCTCCATTCGTGACATCCCAGCTCTTTCGAGAGCCAATCCCCAACGTCTCAGTTTCCGAGAAAGACTTTGGAGTAGGTCATACCTTAGTGTCGGAGCATGGGCCCCATCAGTCTCCCTGCTTCAAGGACCAAGTTCCCCCTGCCCCGAAAAGAAACGCTGAGCGTGCCCCTCGGAATCCTGTACATTCACGCGGAGTTCGGAACGCATCGCGAGCTCCATCGACAAAGGGCTGGTCGGCAGTCAAAACGATTGGGAAGGAAGAGAGAAATGTGTTGGGAAGGTCTTTATTTTAAGCATTAGGGCGGATTGGCTCGCTTTCCAACTTCTTTCAGACCTCAATTAGGCACTTGACTTGTGTCTATACCTACCTAGCACAATGCGGGTGTCGTGTACCCAGGTCATCTTGTTTCGGCCTTCGTATTCTTATCATTATCATGTTCACGAATGAGTATGCCGTCGATAACGAAATTAAAGCAGGGATTTTCTAGAAGAGCACAAGATTGAGGAACATACATGAAACGAGATGGATTATTACCTGTCACTTCGAGCCATCCTCCTGAATACGATTCGAGATCAAAAATCCTGGCCATCGGTTCCGGCGCTGTCTTCAACACGCGTCGCAGCCCGGAAATCGATCCTCAGTTCGACTCCGGGTTCGGCTGGCTGATGAAGTTGATGGCACTCAGGGTCCTGAATTTTCTTGTCAGCGTAAAGATCAGCCAGCCAGTGAAAAAGAAAACCAGCAAATTGAAACAGTCATCGGCAAAGCCGTCGCGCCGAGGAATCCTGTATACCTGCTCTCGTATGCCGAAATCGAGACAGGCTTCGAAAGTCTGAGCTTTAGGTCTTATTCCAGGTCGGGTAGACGTCCCTGTTGCGAGGAGAGCATAGATCAATCGGATTTTGCTCACTTCCCTCCTGCTCAATGCGGCTTCGAGCACGTACTTGAGTTCTAGAGGGGTTCGGGGCAAGTATGGACTAGGATGCAACAAACAACTAAGGTGAGTGAATACACATCGCTCGGTTTCGACGTTTCTCCCTCCGGAGCCTCGAAAATCATATCTTCTATCGCCTTTGGTGGACTTTGTAGCCTGGCGGCCTTGCAGTAGTTTCCGATCATCGCTCGGCCATGCGCCAGATCTCGGAAAATGATGTTGTTTGGCGTGAGGTTCCCATGAATGATATCGTTGTCGTGCAGGTATGCCAGGCCCGAGGAAATCTGATACAGCATCGAGTATTTCCATTCAAACGTATGGCTCTGGTTTCGGATAGCGTCGCCTAGGTTCTCAAGCTCACCCATTCGCATCACTAGGTCGATCGTTCCGTCGCGGTTGCGGAATACCGCTAAGAACTCGACAATGTTTCGATGCTCGAGTTTTTGTAGCTTACGAACCTCGCGCTCAAATTCTGCTATGATTCCAGATTTGAAACGCTTCACTGCAACAATCTCTGTTCGAAAGTCTCCTCTGTATATCGTCGCGTGGGGTTTTTGGCTCAAGGGTCGCTCCTTCTCGAACACTCGGAGGGACATCTTTTCGCTGAGGTGAAATTGGATTTCAAGGTTCTCGACGCACGACCCCCGCTCGCGGCTTCATGGAACTCTTGCACCACAGAAACTTCCGCCAAAATAGATTGTGCGGTCCTCGCGATGGAGGATTGACGTCTTGCGTTTTTCGTGGAGATGGGGATTAATTATCTCCCCTCCAACGGCGACTGCGAGGATCATATGGTGATGCTTGGCCTCGTTCGTTGCAAGGCGAAATTCGGACGTGCGGAGGTGGCACGCTGGAACGTCCAATGACTCAACGTGAGATAGAAGCCAGAGATGAGGCGAGAAGCAAACTGTACCGGGCTGAAACGCGGTGGGAGCCCACGTTGATGGCTCTTCGGACTCGAATCTCGGACCATTTTTCCTATAATTCACCCCACGCCGGATTGAATTCGAGAGGTCTTCTCTTTCTTCTGGTGATGGGACTCGTCACTGCCTGAAATGTCCCCCCTCAGGGAATCGGTCTGGAATGCCTGTTCCTGATCTCATGCGGCTAGATGGGCTCCCCGCATGGGTTCTCGCACCATACCAGCAGCGATCACTCGAGGCATGACTCTTCGAGACTCCGCGATCCGCTGAGCGTGCAATCTGTCGGGATATATCATTATTCCATGTTTTGGAATGTCAACGCGGAGAATCGAAGGACCCCCAATGGCTTGCTGTGGGCCCCCGATCCGATTTTATGAGTCCTCGTCAGCCCCGTACAGATAGCGGCTGCCCGTTTACGTCGGTGACGCGAAGGATGCCTCCAACAATCAATCTAGCGAGTATGCTCCACTGGAAGCATCCGAATGCAATCAAATTATCCTTGCCCGCCGAATTTCTCGCGGACTCAGCATGGTTACGAGCCGATCTATGATACGTAGCTATGGCATTGCTAGGAAGCTGATCTGCGCTGTGTGCAGGCTCGGTGAGAGTCAAGCACCGTCGAGAGCCACCCCGAGTGCATCGATTCGCGATTATCAAGCCTTGATCACTATCATCTGGTGCCTTTAGGGTAGCTGGTCCACCGAATGACTTGTGAACAACCGAAGTGAGCGTCTCATTCTTGCGCACCGGAGGTTTGATTATTCTACTCTGATCGTATCCCGGTTATCCGAGGAGCTGCTTGCGCTCGAACTATGCTCACTGTTGATCGATGCTTACTACGGATTGGTTAATCGATTTCCGCGGCGTCGACGTGCCAGACGGTGGAGATCGCCCCGAGGACGATGCCGTTCCCGCTTCGGAACACGTGGCATGGTTGCCCCGGCAAGCGCTTTCGCTCCTCTGCCGTTTTCGTCTCTCGTTACAAGTTTCTGCGAGTCTCCACAAGTCTCCTGACGTAGGCACCCGAAGGCGCCTTCGCAGCAGCAGCTGCTACAAACATTGTATGTAGAGGGTAGAGGGGCGCATTCATAGGACATTCGCCAGAGAGCGCCACTTTCTGCCGAGTACGCATTGAGTTCCAGCTTCCTTGTCTACTGATTGGTTCTGTCCTGCTTCCGAAAGCGTTTCTCCGTCCGCCCCCCCGAAGTCTCGCTTGCGTCTTCGCTCCTTCAGATTTTCCTCTCAGCTCGGAGGAAGCCAAGCGAGCTTGTTCCCAGACGGGCCTCCTGTCCGCCTTGACAGGAATCGAATTGTGGTCTATTTATAAGTATGCTCTCCCCGGGGGTTGAATCCCTGGAAGAGCTCCATTCATCGCAGCGAATTGGATTATCGTATCATGAGATGATCTCTTGATGGCTTTCCTAGCGACGACTACTTCTCGAAATGCAGAAGCAACGGTCGATGTCGTCCTAGCTCCATAGACCGCTCGGAGGAGAAAGTTATGCTTCCGATTTTCGCTATCTTAAGTTCTCCCGAATGGAACTCTTTGCAGTCCGACGAGGCTGCCAATCCTCACGTTGGCGCGTCGGGGACTCGCTCTGCTAATTGGAGATGCTTATCCGTGGAATTGAGGCTCATCTGTTGGACGATATGTCGTCTTCGGGGTCCCTGATCGCGACATATTACGTATGAGCTCATGACGCTCGGAAGCCGTCGAAGGAAGCTGTGAAACCCTAGGAGCTTGAGGAAAATTGATAATCGGGGCATGCCCGCTGATCTCTAGGTTCTCCTAGCGTCTGGAACCCATGATGGAGGGTAGCGAGTCATAATCGAAGGAAAAATCGAGGAATCTCTCGATTACGTTCTCGGATATTCCACTTGGGTAATCCACATGTCGAAAAACTCCCGAAAAGTCGTGTCTATCTGGTTCTTGAAAAATTTGAGCCATCCGAATACCCGCTCGCTCAGCTATTGCACCTGCATGCGGATGCGCTTCTCTGAGCCAGTTCTGCACGCCGCATCGCCCACAGCGAGGCTCCGTTTGTAATCACAACCTAGTCAAGAAACTGCCGTTCCCCCTTCCAGAGTGGAAGAGCATCCCACATGTCGCGCATAGGTTCCTCATGGAATCCTATCCATCTGAGAAAGGTGAAACTCCGGCGAGACCAAGGTCCGCGATCCAAGCTCTCAAATTCTCTTCGAGTCGCGCAACGATCGACAACGCCCGCGTATCCAATCTCCGAAGTCGAGAGTGGTAGTCCACGTCGACTCCTTCCAGATAACGAGTTTTGAGCGAAGCTCATGTTCCACCTGATTGGCTTACTTAGGTATTCCGGGATTCCGAAGCCTCAGATTCGAACAACTCTGGGGAAAAAAACGACATGCTCACATTGGCTCATACACATCTGTGAGGAGATATCCCAATAGACTCCCGAAGCCGTTGGACCTCGCACCGAGCTTCGCAAATCGGCCATTTTCCACAGCGTCTCTCGCAGAGACAAGAAATATACCCCATAGTTCTCAGGAGACTGTTTGGGACAAATCCTGGTATTAGAATATCCCGATGCTTCCAGCAGGCCCACCTCCGACGTTCCCTCTTCCGGCGCGGGAGAGGAATTTGATTTTCATCGAGCAAATTGTCCCATTACTTGGACAATCAGCTAAAGCGCTGGAAAACTTCTGATTAGCCACCGCACATTCCGATTGAGAGAGAAATGAAGCGGAAATTGAGCGCAACCATTAGCTGCTACAATCGAAAGGGCGGAGGAACGGGATCTCATTCAGGGACTTTTTCTGTGCACTAGATAGCGCCTCCGTAGCTCGTGTCGCCGGTTCGGACGACTGATCATCGTCTAGAATCTAGAACCAAGAACATATTTAAACTGTCCTCATTGAGTAGCATTTCGATTCGCCGCGAAATCATCGGTCCGCATTGAAGAGTGTATCGTGCGTTGAGATTCGCGATTCTATTGGTTCTCACTCAGTTTATCGGAGCGAGTGGGTTCATCCGGAGCCATTGAGCTCCGATGTCTCGATTGCCGGGGAGCAGTTCTTGCCCCGGACGAACTTCTCGAACAGAGGTTTCTTTTTCCAATTACGAGACGTATCGATACAGGCCATGGAATTCGACCACACGCAAGTTCTCGATTGAGCTCACGTCACTCGGGATCGCGACAGCAGAAAGACTAGCTCAGCGGCTCAATGAAGAGAACGTTGCAGTTGGCACCGCCGGATCTATATTTTGAATGATTATGAGACGCCATCGGAAAGGTTTCCTGATGGGGAAGTCGTGCTGTCACGTCAGCTTTTTTTCCCGCGATCGCTACGTCGGCAAGTTCGATGATGTAGACTTTTTTTTGTAGCCGTGCCGAGCGATATGCGAGGATTGGAGAGAAACTGAGACGTCTCCGAATGGGACGCCATAGCTCGCTCGCATTGTGACGAAGTTGTCCTCCTAACTTCATCCGTTATGATCTCTGCGACGCACGACTCAGCCGGGCGCCGACGGAATCCGTTCTTAGAGTCACCAGATAAAAGTCACCAGATACCTGATGATACTCCGGCTATAGCTGATGATGGACACTCAATCCACGATTGGGATACTACCAATTCGCGGATTCGGATTTCATGGGTTCAACTCGCATTCTCACAGCATTGGCGCTCGACATTCTTTGCGCCTCGAGCTCGTGGAGGATGCGGGCGAACATTCTAGTTGCCTGCTCGCCAGCGCAGCTTCGAGGTCAAACCGTGGGAGATCCCGTCGAGGATTTGACGCGAGGTTAAGCCCTACCGGATGTATCTGGAATTGATACTCTGAATCTCTTCCCTCCTTCGAGCAGTTAGCTCATGCATGATGCCCTATCGCACTAGGACCTTTGTTGGGATTCTCGAAGCTCGCAGAAAGGAGGCGGGCAGAGCCAGGCCTTCGACCCCGGAGTCGCGGTCCCGGGAAATCGGCCTAAGAACTTGAGGGGTTTGCATGCCGCGGCTCGCTCGCTCAGTCGGACGATATGAGTCCGCTCCGATGCTAGTCCGAGACGGCCGTGGTGGTTCCAGGCCTCGATCTGGGAATATCTGCCCTATCGAATGCTGAAAATGGGGCGCAGGAATTCTCCAAATCGAAGGTCTGTTCGAAGCTCGATTGACGTGATCGATGTCGAGGTGACTGACTTCCCAGATGACGCCGGTAGCCGGCTACAGGGAATTTATGGATCCGGCTTGTCACAACACGTCGGCGGCCATCGGGATCTTTGCTTCGGCCAGACCTTCCCTTCCTTCCTCTCTTCGAACGTGGCACAGGATGTGAGTAAATTAAGTGCTAAGGAGGAAATGAAGGCCGGTGTTAGCTTTCACCGAACGAAAGGAAACAAACAGGATTCTCACCTGACCAGCTTGCAAAAGAGGCAGCAGCCGAAGCTTCGAGTTGCAATGCTCCTTGCTTTGCCCGATCGAGATTAACAGCCTTGGGGAAGAGTGACCTCCCAAAACAAGAACAAGGACTAGAGGGATTTATCTTAACCTTCGGAGATCCGACGCTGAGGAGTATCTCTCAGAGCCCTCGATCGATTCTGATCACGTGCGCCCCACCTCAGAACTTGGAACTTGTCACAATTTTCCCCTCGACATACTGGCTCAGGAACGACTTACCGGGTACCGTGTCCGGAGGTAGAACC